TTTATTATCCATCTGTCATCTTCTGTCTGTCTATTATATTATGTATGCAGAACTAGGGGTTGAGCCCAGGGCCTTTGCACTGAGCTTATCTCCACCCCTTATTTTTTATTATTTTTTAATCTTTTATTTTGAGGTGATCTGGTGAAATTGCCCAAAGCTGGATTTAAATTTTAGGTTCTCCTTTCTGAGCCTCCTCAGTGTTGGAATTACAGGTGTGGATTTCCCCTCTGGTTGGACTTTCCTTTCCTTTCTTTTCCAGTTTTATTTAAAGGTAAATTGAGGCTCCATGTTGTGGTGCACTTCTATAATCCCATCACTCTAGAGGCTGAGGCAGGAGGATCATGAGTTCAAGGGTCAGCCTGGCCAGGGATTTAGCTCAGTGGCTTAAGCACCTGCCTGGTAAGCGTGAGGTCATAAATTGAATCCCGGTACCAGAAAAAAAATCAAGCGTCAGCCTGCACTATAGAGTAAGACCCTTTCTTCAAAACAACCCCTTCTGAAAGGAAGACTGGGACATGGTTCTGTGGCACCACTGGAAGAACAATATCAGTGATCCATTCCACTCTGAAATGTCAGCCGTATGTTTAAAATTAGACTTATGGATAAGGTGTGGCTGGTGGTAGAGCACTTCTGTATAATTCATAAGGCCCTGGGTTTGATCTCCACTCCTGCCAAAACAAAACAAAATCAGTAATAAATCAATAAGAGGTAGCAGAGCCCAGCCTGGACAATTTAACAAAACCCATCTTAATCCCAGCACTCAGGAGGCTGAGGCAGGAGGTTGCCCATGAGCCTGGGCTACATAGTGAGACCCTGTCTCAAAACAAAAAAAGCAAAAACTCAAAATCCACACACAAAACAAGACAACCCCCAAAAAATCGAGACACAAGGATGTATGCAGCTCAGTGTGAAGGCACTGGATTCTATGCCAGTACCAAAAAGTAACGAAGTAGTAGTGGGCCCTTGGTCCCAGCACTTGGGAGGCTGAAGCAGGAGGATCGCTGGAGCCCAATGCACCTCTTCCCAGCTTTACTGCGCAGCTGAAGTGATGACTGGGATTATGTCCATGTCAACTCCACATTCTTTATTTTACTTTGGATATTGAAAGAGTTTTGGCCCAGACAGGACACTGTAGCTGATAAAGCCTCAGGCGAACCAAGGAGCTCCATCTTCCCCACCCCTAGGAATTTGCCTCTGGCACCAAAAGAATACCAATGGGCTACCTGTGCATCACTAATGACCCTTAGGTTCCACCCCAAACCTAGGCTACTTATATGCCTCCACTCCACAAGTTCCATGGAGAGATTGCCCGCGGGGGTGGTTGTGGGGTGGGGGGAGATGCCATGCCCCAGGGGATGGGGGTGTCGCTCCCCACATTCTCAAAATAAAGGTCATTTATATTTCATACTTCTTTTCAGCTGCCACCGGTTCTTCACAGTTCTATCAGATATTTCTGCCTCTCAACAGTTTCATTGAAATAGATTTACAGATCCTCAGGTTCATAAGCATGATGATTGGGTGTTCATGCTCTATGCATGACATGTGCCTCCTTTCAACCTTGTTACGACCTCGGCACATTACCCGTCTGACATGAAAAAAAAAAAAAAAAAAAAAGAAATAGATTTACATGCCCCATGTTGTTACACTCACTGGAAGGGTACAATTCAGTGAGGGTAGTAAATTTATGAAGCTAAAACCTTCCCGGTCTTGCTGTAGACAACTACACATCTACTTTCTGTCTGTCCTGTGCCCTACCTGGACGTCTCACACACAGGGAATCAGAATATGTCTTTGATATATAACTTCCTTTGTTTATTTATTTATTTAGGGTTTTTTTTTTTTTTTTGTCTTTTTATTTGTACTGGGGATCGAACTCATGACTGCCAATCCCCAGCCCTGTAGCTTTTTTTTTTTAATTGCTGTTATTGTTGTAGTGGTTGGTTTTGGTCTTTTTTGAGACAGGGTTTTGCTATGCAGTTCAGGCTGGCCTCAAACTCACAAGGATCCTCCTGCCTCAGTCTCCTGAATGTGGAAATTTTTTTTTTATCTTGAGGCAAGTTCTAAGTCTTGGCCAATCAGACCTTGAACTTGAGAATTCTCCTGCTTCAGCCTCTGGAACAGCTGGAATTTCAGGTATGAACCAGGTGCCTAGCCTGGCCTTATCTTACCCAGCTATGTGTCACACTGAAGAGACCACCCTTGTCTTTCTGTAAAGCTCTCTCTCTACCACAGACAATAAGGCTCTGCCTAGCACAGTCTCTGGCCAGGACACCAAGGTTGGAAAGTTACCCACGTTAGCTCCTGCGGAGGTCCGCGCCAACCTGGCCCTCTGTGCAGAGACAGCTGGAGAACTGTCTATCTCTAAAGGAAAAAAAGTCTATATTTTTCTTTTCTGCTCCTCTGCACTCCTAATTTTTATTTTATTTTATTTTTTGGTACCAGGGATCAAACTTACGACCTTGTGCTTGCGAGGCAAGTGCTTACGGTGTTGACCTAAATGCCAGGCCCTGCACTCCTAATTTTAAACATTCATTTTATCCTCTTGCTGGGGATTTAGCTCAGCAGCATAAGCACCTGCCTTGCAAGCAGGCAGTCGTGAGTTTGATCCCCGGTACGATAAAAATGAAAAAGACAAAAAAAAAAAAAAAAAAAAAAGAACATTTTATCCTCTTGATTAGAGGATAAAAGCCTATTAGAGTACAAAGTTCTCTCCACATTTCAAATCACTCCCATAGCTTTTAGCTTCTTTTTCTCTTTCTTCTCCTTCTCTTTTTCCCTCCTTCTCCTTTTTTTTTTTTTTTCTAGACAGAGTCTCCCTATGTAGCCCAAGCTAACCTTGAACTCATGGTGATGCTCCTGCCTCTGCCTTCCAAGTGCTGGGATTACAAGTGTGCACAACCATCCCTGATTATTTTCTTTAAGAGTAGGTTATATTTATTGAGAGAAAGAAAACTTCTGCCTCTGAGAGAGAGAGAGAGAGAGACAGAGAGAGAGACAGAGACAGAGACAGAGACAGAGACAGAGAGAAAGAGAGACAGAGAAACAGAGAGACAGAAGAGGTACTGAGTGGGCCGCCACTATCCCTGATTCTGATTTTTGGCTTCTTTTTTGAGGGTGACTTTTGGAGTCCTTGATGATGTCTGCAAATTCTCCCAGGATCAAAAAGACCTTGCAAGGAGTATTTTATCTAGTCCCACCCTCTACGAAGCCATGTATATTGCATTTCTTTTTTCTTTTTTGGTAGGGTGGACATTGAACCCTGGATCTTCATTCACATTGAGCTTTGTTTCCAGAACTTTTATTTTTTTGAGACAGGGTTTTATTAAATTGTCCAGTTTAGGTTCAAATTTAATCCTTATGCCTTAGGCTCCCAGATTACAGGCATTACATGAATCACCGTGCCCAGTTTAGCTCTTTTACTTTGTTACTTATTCATGTACTTGTTTGTTTGGTACAGACTCTGACCTTGCACTTGCCAGGCAGGGCTTGTGCCACTAAACCAAACCCCTGGCGCCCCCCCCCCTTTTTTTTGGTACCAGGGATTGAACTCAAGACCTCACCTTTGCCAAACAGGCACTTACACCGCTGAGCTAAAGCCCGGGCCCTTATTTATTTATTTATTTATTTGTCTTTCTCATTTTTATGGGTACCAGGGATCGAACTCACAACTGCCTGCTTGCAAGGCAGGCGCTTATGCCGCTGAGCTAAATCTCCAGCCCCTATTTATTTGTTTTTAAGACAGGATCTCCCAATGTAGTTCATAGCCCAGAGCCCGGCATGGTGGCTCACTCCTGTGACACTGACACTCAGGAGGCTGATGACAGGAGTTCAAGACCAGCCTGGACTACATAGTTGGTTTATTTTTATTTTTATTTTTTATTTATTTTATTTTATTTTATTTTATTTTTTACTGGTACCAGGGATCGAAATCACAACCACGTGCTTGCAAGGCAGGCACTTATGCCACTGAGCTAAATCCCCAGCCCCTATTTTTATTTTTTTGTCTTTCCTTTTGTTTTGCTTTGAAACAGTGTCTTGTTACATAGTTCAGGCTGGCCTCCATTCTCTTGCTTTAGTGATCTTCCTACCACAGCCTTCAGAGTGCTGGGGTTGCATGTATCACCACGTCTGGCTCCCTCCTTATTTATCTTTTATTTTATTTTATTTTTTTGAGACAGGATCTTGCTCGGTAGTGCAGGCTGACCTAGAAATCGCAGCAACCTTACTGCCTCAGCCTCCCGGGGCTGGGATTACAGGCATGCACTAGGTTCAGTTTTGTTGATGTTTGAAAGCCAGGGTCTAGCAATGTACTTCAGGCTGGGTTGGACTCACTGTGTAGCCCAGACACGCCTCAAATTAAGGGGATTCCTCAGCCTCACCCTCAAAGGGCTGGGATTACAAACACACCTGTGGGTTCAGTTTTTATTTTTCTTTATTCGTTTTTGGCATCAGCAATTGAACTCAGAACTCAGAGCCTCGCGTTTGCCAGGCAGGCGTTGCATCACTGAGCTACATCCTCAGCCCTAGTTTTTATTTATTTATTTATTTATTTATTTATTTATTTGTCTTTTTCCTTTTTATTGGTACTGGGGATTGAACTCACGACTGCCTGCTTGCAAGGCACGCGCTTATGCTGCTGAGCTAAAACCCCAGCCCCCTAGTTTTTATTTTTTGACTTTTGAAACTGGGTCTCACTATGCAGTTCAGGCTGGCTTTGAGTTTACTTTGTGGCCGAGGCTAGTCTTGAACTTGAAACGATCGCCCTGCCTGGAATTACAGGCGTGCTCCACAGTTCTCCAGTTTTTATTTTTTAGAACTGTTTCTGTTTTTTTTAGCACAGGGTCTTGCTATGTAGTGGCCTCCAGCTCCCCGCGCTCCTCCTGCCTCATCCCCTGGAGTCCTGGGATTACAGACGTGCCCCACCACACCCCCGGCTAGGCCCAGTCTTTAATGTGGATCTCAGAAGCATTCTGGCAGTCTAGTTCATTTGGGATCCGCGGATGGGATGGATCATCGCTCTATTCAAGCAGAAACTGGGGCGCACTGGGCGAGTCCTTAAATTCGCCGTGGGCGCCGACTCTAGCGCGTGGTGCACGCTGCCACTGGACCGCTGCGCGCGCTTCGCCCAGCTCCCCGCGCCGCCAGCTGGCGCCTCCCGCCCTCGCCTCTGCGCCCAGCCGCTCGGCGCCATCTTTGAGCCGGGCATCTTCGCCTCACTTCCGCCCTTCTATTCCTCTCCCCAGAAATAGATGCGCCTGCCCCATGCATATCCTGTCTAGGAATAGATTACTCAGACCAGTCACTTATGCTGTACCCGCTGAAATCATTCATCCCCCACTCCCCGGTCTTAGGGAAACTCTCTGTAACCAGTTCAAAAATGGTGCTACCAGCTTCACCTCCCCTGTCTTCCGCTTCGCAGGGGGCGGGAGCAGCCGTCAGGTTTCAGTGCGCCGGCGCGAGAGGGCCGGGTCGTAGCCTTGGCAACGCGGGTGTAGCCTAGGCCCTTGGGTCCGGCGGGAAGCCAGAGTGCAGCAACGCTGGCGACTGGCGGGGCTGCGAGCGCCCAGGGGCCTTGGCGGCCTGGGCCGCTGCAGGACGAAACCCTAGGCGTGGTGTCCGTTCCCTCGCAGTGGCGGGGCGTCCAGGGCGTCCGCGGGGAGACGGTGAGGGCGCGGGGCCGCGCCTCGCGACGCGATCTGGGCGGCGGGCGAGGCTCTGGGGCCCTTGGTTTCCTTTGGGTTTTAATCCGCAAAAATGATCGGGACCAGCTCTCGGGCCGGTCTTTCTCCTTTGAGTTACAACAAAAAGTTCAAACTTTAAGGATCCCACCATGTTGAGAAGGTTTTGTTTTTAAGGAAAAAAAAAATCATCACGCTCCGTCTTTAGGTCTGAGTGAGTCGTGGTTCAGGCGGAACGAGGCGCCCTGGCCTGGGTGGCCCAGTGCCCAGCAGCGAAAGACAGAAATGTCGCCCTCCCCGGAGCTCTCTCGAGGCGGTTACTGGAGACGAGCTTGAGCAGTGTGTGCACTGAATGAGTAGTGAGTTAGCGGTCGAACAGTGCCCTGGCCAGCGGGAAGGGTGCTTTGCAGGCTGTGGTCTTTGGGAGGATGCAACACTGCACACAAGGGAATCGTCGGTCTGGACTAAAGCAGGCTAAGTAGAACTGATCTCAAGTGCAAACGTCCAGGGGCCCTAGTGCACCACTGCACCCGGCTGGGCTTTTCAAGCTGAATTAAAATGAGCTGTGGCCTGCTAGGGTGGCACATGCCTGTAATCCCAGCATTCAGGAGGCTGAGGCAGGAGGATTGCTGCAAATTAGGAGCCCACTTGGGCTGCATTGTGAGTTCAAGGCCAATCTGTTTTGGTATTGGGGATCAAATTCATGACCTCACACTTGCCAGGCAAGTGTTTATGCCACTGAGCTAAATCCCCGGCCTCTCAAGGCCAGTCTGAATTACACTCCGAGATCCTGTCTCAACCTCTACCTCCAACCCCAAGATGAGCTGTGTTACAGGGTGCTGTCTATTACCAGAAGAGTACGTTGCCAGGCATAATGGCACATGTCTGTAATCCCAGTACTGTGCTTTGCTTAATTGTTTTTAGCTTTTGAAACTGAATCCACAGTCACTGGGTACAGTTATCCAGATATTCAGAGAAGGAAGCTCTCAGGTCGCGCATGCACACAGCAGAAATAATTTCCCAGCCTTCCCTGTCAGGCCTAATGTGCAGGTACCAGTGGCCCACGAGATAGTTTTATTTATTTATTTATTTATTTGGTACTGGAGATTGAACTCACGATCACGGGCTTGCAAGGCAGGTGCTTATGCCACTGAGCTAAATCCCCAGCGCCTCCAGTACTGTGCTTGGGAGGCTGAGGCAAGAGGTTTGCTGTGAGCTCCAGACCAATCTGACTTGTATAGCAAGACCCTATCTCAAATAACAAAGAGCAACAACAGAGAAAAAGAGAACTCTGGTTGTTAAAATGGCAGGTAGCCTGTGACTCCACCAATGCCAGTGATGTCCCCTGAAGTCTGGTCTTGGGGACAAGGTGTCTTGCCATTGGCCCAGTGGCCAGACTGACCTTGCTTCCAGGTACCTCCCATATTGCCATGCTGCGTAGGGACAGTGCCAGTTAGGACAACCGTGGTCATTTTGGTTCAGACTGTGTCCTTACTGCGGGCATGATTCATGCACTGACCTTTTAAAAATGGCTCAGAATAACCCTTGCTGAAGATTCCAGGTTGGGAGCCATTGATTCAGTCTAACACTTTTTATTTATTTTTTGATTTTTTAAGATAGAGTCTCACTGTGTGGCTGACCTGGAACTCAGGTGATCCTTCTGCAGCCTCTAGACCACTGGGTTATAGCTGTTCACCGCCATATCCAGCACTAACACTTTTTTTTGGACAGAGAATGAGATTGAGGCTTGTTAATTTTCTTGTAGATAAAGTATTGACCTGCAAGTTTAAAAATAAATGTTTTGCTTTTTGGTACTGAGGATTGAACTCATAACCTTGAGTTTACCAGGCAAGCGCTTGAGCCACTGAGCCAAATCCCCAGCCCCTAAAATAAATGTTTTTAGGGGCTGGGTATTTAGCTCAGTGGCATAAGCACCTACCTTGCAAGCAGGCGGTTGTGAGTTCAATCCCCGGTACTGGAAAAAAAAAAAGATTAAAAAAAAAAAGAAATGTTTTTAAAGTTTTTATTTTTTAATTCTTTTTTAGATAGGGTCTCACTGAGTAGCAAAATTGCCCAGACTGGGCTTGAATTTGTGATCCTCTTGCCTTAGCCTCCCAGAATACTGGGATTACAGGTATCTGATTGCACCAGGCTTTGGTGTAGTTTCTTGCCATATGCTGATCCATTCACAGAGAGACAAGGTCCTGGTGCGAGGTGGGGTTGGAAGGGGCTGGACCAAGGACCAGGTCCTCCTGGTGGGAGTGAGTGAATTGCTGAAAAGAAAGCCTTTTTTTTTCTTTTTGGTACCCAGGATGGAACTCATAACCTTGCACTTGCCAGATAGATGCTTATGCTGCTGAGCTAAACCCGTAGCCTGGAAAGCCGTTTGAAAGCACTGTTGCTGTGGTGCAGCTTCTGAGAGGCTGAGATGGGGGACCCCGGTGAGCAGCCCCTGAACCCCCTACATCTGCATTGTGGCCCCTGCTGCGATGAGAGGATCTGTGATCAGCATGCAGGGAGTCTGGCCTCCCTGGCCTGTGGCCTGATCTTTGGGTCTGTGTTTCTGTTTTTAATTTTTGCAGCGCTGAGGATGAATGCAGAGCCTCAAACTCTATCCCTGGGCCACATCCCCATCTCACACTTACCGTACTTTAAAATTTTTCTTATTTTTTTGAGATGAAGTCTTTCTGTGTAGCCTAGCTGTGGGCTCAAGAGATCCTCCTGCCTCAGTCTTTGAGTGCTGGGACTCTACACTTGGGCCACTAATCCTTCATTGTTGGAAGTTGAATCCAGGGCCTCAGGCATACTAGGCAAGTGCTACACTCTGGAGCCGCATCCTCAACCCTATTTTAATCATTTAGAAGTGTGTGATCCAGTGGGGTCCTGTTATTTTTGGGGGTGCATCCCTCAGGGCATAGTGGCATAGTTCCAACATTTTTCCAACTCTGTGGGGCATATTTTTGACAGCGTCCCAGAGGGCCAGGGTGAATCTTGTTTATTTTGCCTCTGTATCCAGGTAACTGAGCTAACCCTAACCCTAACCCTAACCTACTGTGAGCTCAGCTCCCATCTGACTCCTGCATCTTTGTCCTGCCCTGTCTGGCAGTGTGTGGTGTCCTCTGCTGGACAGATTTATTTTTGGTACTGGGAATTTAACCCAGAATCTTGGCACCAAGTTGCTAAATTATTGGTCGTGCTGGGTTGAAATTTGGGATCCTACTGCCTCAGTGTCCTGGTATTCTCGGATTGCAGGCATGTGCTGTCACTCCTGGAAAGAGGGTTAAAAGATATATATATATATATTTGTACCAGGGATCGAACGCATGACCTTGTGCTTGTCAGGCAGGCACTTATGCCTGCTGAACTAAATCCCCAGCCCATGTGTTTGCTTTTTGAGAGTGTTTTGCTGTGTAGTTCAGGCTGATTTGAACTTACTATGTATCCCAGGCTGGCTGAGAACTCTCAGTGATCCTCCTGCCTCAGCCTCCTGAATTCAGTGAATCCAGGCCTGTGCCTCTTTGCTCCAGACTTGAGTTATTTCTGTGTACCTTGGTGCAGCACAGCAGCACTGTCAAATTAGCTTATGTGCAGAGTGGTGGGGAAGAGGATGAGGCGCTGCACTGCCGGGGCCCCTCCTCACAGTGTGTGGGTGGTTCATTACCAAGTCTCCCCACACTGCTGTGTGCTCTGTGCTCGTTCCCTCAGTCTCCGAGGTCCTGTGCTTTCTGGTAGACACTCTGCTGCCACCCTCCGGAGCCTCAGATGGTAGACACCAGGACCATGCTCTGCACTCCACCCTTGCATCAGGGCCCGGGATCATGATGTCCCCTGGCATGGTTCCCTCTCAGACTGCTCAGGTCCACACTGCCCTAAGTCCTGCTGCCGGCCCGTCCTACTCACCTCCTTGGGTGGCCAGAGAGTGGGTTTCTGACCTGGCCATTGATGGTGATCTGAAGCTTATGCCAGGGGGCCCTGTGACCTAGCATACAGTGGGATGTTTTTTTGTGCAGTGCTGGGGATCTGTGGGGCCAGGCTGGCATGCTACTGTCAGTGGCGTCCAGCTCTATACCCAGCCTGGCCATGCCTGTCCTGCCCTTCCCTGTCCTCTCCCTCCCTCCCTTCCTTTTCTGTCTCCTCTTCCTTCCCCTCTTTCTTACTGTAGTACTGGGGATGGAACCCAGAGCCTGTGTGCTGAGCTGTCGGGCCCCTCCCTCTTTCAAGACAAGATCTCCCTACTGAGGCAGGAGGATTAAGGCAAATTCAAGGGCAGTCTGGGCTACATCTCATAAAACCAAAGAAAGACAATAAAAATGATTTCTTTAAATGTCCCAGGTGGGTGTCCAACTTGCAGTCCTCCTGCCTCAGCCTCCGGATGCCCTGGATACCAGGCAATGCATCACCCCATCTGCTTGCAGCTCTTTCTCCAGAAATTGTGCTCTGGCCCCCACCAGACTCGCCCTGGGCTCCCTACTTGCCAGCTCCTGCTGTCCTTTGCATGTCAGAATCTGTGTCCCAGCCTGCAGCTCCCTGGCCCTCCAGCCCCTGGAGCACAGCACTTTGGCATTGGGCTGTGGTCTCTATATTCTATCCCCTGGACCCAGGAAATGCTGGGAACAAAGGAATGTCGCAGGTTTTGTTGCCAGCAGAGCACTGGGCTGGTGCTGCCTCTGGTTTTTTTTCTTTTATTTTTTGAGACAGGATCTCACTGTGCAGCCCAGGCTGGCCTCAAACTTACAGCGATCCACCTGCCTCAGCCTCCTGAGTGCCAGGGTTACAGGCATGTGCCTGCACAGCTGGTGTGTGTGTTTTCCTGTGTGTCACAGTGTGCCCGGTGCTGGGCATCCAGATGACCAGGTGTCAACCAAGCCCAGTTTACCAGGACTCAGGTGGGGAGGGTTATAGGTGCTGTGCTGAGTACTTCCTAGAGTGCTGCCTGCAGGGCCAGCTCCTCCTTGGGACTAAGACTGTCTCTGCTTGAGGCGGGGTGCCTGTGTAGCTACCAACAGTGGTCAGTGTTACCCACATCCAGCTGAGGAAGGACTTGGGGAAGGTGGTGGGGTGGAGAGATGGCCAGGTGAACTCCTCTCAAGGCATTCATTCTCTCCCGCGGCTAAGGGAGGTGAAGTGAGCTGAGGATGGCCTGTGGGGGCCACTTCAGGTGGCCTTGACTGCTTCCAAGATGCTGTGATTCTTTTGTTGATGAGATTTTTTTTTTTTTTTTTGTCTTTTTCAGTTTTTATCGGTACCAGGGATCGAACTCACGACCGCCTGCTTGCAAGGCAGGGGCTTATGCCGCTGAGCTAAATCCCCAGCCCCGTTGATGAGATTTTTGTAGATGAGGGTTAGGGTTAGGGTTAGGGTTAGGGCCTTGAACTTGCAAACTTCCTGTCTCAGTTTCCTGAGTATCTGGAACTAGAGGAGTGCGCCACTATGCACCATAGCTGTGGTTCTGGGGCTGCCTAGTCAGAAAGGGCAGCCTATCCAGTCAAATAGTTTCCCCTAAAGTCCTGGAGCAGGCTCTTACTGGCTCATTTGGGTCACATGGCCACCCTTGAGCCAATCTCTGTGGAGGCAATGGGAGATGCAGTGTTCTGATTGGCTATTTGTGTTCAGTAGGTCTAGGACTGCAGATATCCTTTCCAGCCCATTATGGAAAGTGGTCTTTGTGGTGTGAGAGCAAAGAAAGAGATCGCAGAAGAGCAAAAGCCTTTATTGAGAGCACGAGAGGGCTGCCAAAGAGAGGCAGGCAGCTTCTGGAAAGTTCGGGAAGAACCGTGGGTTTTTATTTGGAATTTGACAGGGGGCGGAGTTAAGGGGCGGGTAGAATGACGTTTAGACAGCTGATTGAAGGAACCTTTGCACATGTGTCAGAAGCAGGAGATTTAATTTGTGGGTTTGCGAGAAGAGCAAGGGGTCGCTGTCCACAGGAAGAAAAACTTATCAGAAAGGTGGCCGCTCCCAGTGTGGGGCCACCCCCTTAGCGTCCAGGTTACAGCCTTGTGATGGTAACGCAGGTTTCCATTTCCCTCACAGAAGAGTTGCCAGACAGCCAGCATCGCCACAGCCGAGGCGGGCACCCAGGCCCAGAAGCGCACAGACGTCCAGGTGCAGACGGAGGCCCCCACGCCTCCCGCCATCCTTGTGCCCCAGTCCGATGCGCCCGGGCTGCTCGCCTTCCTGCGCCGCGTGGAGCCTATGGTCACCCGTGAGCTGAGCCGGAACAGGCAGAGCCACGCGTTTGATGGCTTCGAGGTGACATGGACCGAGCCGCAGCAAACGGTAGGGCTGGCGATGGCCCAAGGTGCTGCCCCTCCTACTTCCCATAGCGTTCACTGAGCTCTTACTTTCTGCCGGGTACTGGACGGAGTCATTAGCTTTTGGTGGTACTGGAGGTGGAACCGAAGGCCGTGCCCCTCAGGGACATCTTAGGTTATTTTTTTGAACCATTTAATTTTGGGTCAATCTTGCAAAGTCACTAAGTTGCCCCGGTTGTGGCCTGAATTTGAGATCCTCCTGCCTCAGCCTTCCAGAATGTGGAAGCACAGGTGCATTCCCCCAGCACCTGGCCTAAGCTAAGTTGTATGCATAAATCCTTGAGACCCCCTCTATAGTCCTGGGGGTGGGTCTTCACCCTCTCCCCAAGGTGAAGTTGGGGAAATGGACCCCTGTGGCAGAACCTGCTTGTCCAGGGTAAAACCAAGGAAACACTTGCAGGTGGCAAGTGGGCGGCTGCTTTGCCACCTCCTGGGGTGTGGGAGTGCTTCCTTTGTGGCTCATTCACCCTCAGGATGGTGGGCAAGGCAGCACTATGATCTCCATTTATGGATGAGCCTGAGTGACTTGCTCCAGGTCACACAGGTGACACTAAAATTAGCTTAGCTGCTCAGGAGGCTGAGGCAGAAGGATCTTAAGGTCTGTTGGCAAATAGAAAAGGACTGGGGATGTGGCTCACAGGAAGCCTAAGGCCCAAGGTTCAACCAGGTCAGCCCTTTGCAGCAGTCTGGTCTGGGGTCCTTGAGTTTGTTCATGGGTCAGCGGCCACCCCTCCCAGCCCAGGTCCTGCCACTGTCAGCTGTGTGACCCTTGGCCTGGTTTGTGGCTGTCCAGCCCTGCCGTCTGGGTTCCAGAAGTGACATTCACAGGATTATGGGTTCCCCAGGGTTGGTGGGTTTGTTTGGCTCTCGGCCCTGGCCTGGGTGTGGTTTTAGCTTCCAGCCACAGGTCTGCCTGGTGGGTGGCTTGGGGCTCAGGGCAGGGATGGCCTGTCTCTGCAGGTGACCTGTCTGCACACGCTGGGCTACCCTCCAGCCCAAGGCCAGGGGCTGCATGTGACCAGCGTGTCCTGGAATGCCACCGGCTCTGTGCTGGCTTGTGCCTATGGCCGGTGAGTGGTTGAAGAGCAGGTGAGGGGGCCTGTCTCCCCAAACCTGGCATTTTGGGTGCTTTAGGCTGTGAAGCATGGTTGGCTGCAACATGGTGGGAACAGCAGGGAGCACTGGGGAACCACAGCTTAGTGCCCGCCTGCTGCCTGGCAGCCTAGCCTTCTGGTCAGCCACCTCTGCTGCCAGTTCCTCAGTGCCTGGGCCTCCCTGGTCCATTGCATGGAGCTACCTACAGTGCTGGGTCCTTTCCTAGAACACTCTACCTACGGTGGGGCCAGTGCTGGGTCCTTTCCTAGAACGCCGTACCTGTGGTGGGCTGGGCATGAGCTGCGTCCCTGGGGCACAGAGGCCACTTTGTCCAGGTTAGTGAGGCAGAAGTGAGGTGGTGACAGGAATCTGACAGCTGTGGCTCCTGCTGTGCAGGCTGGACGATGGGGACTGGAGCACGCTCAGGTCCTATGTGTGTGCCTGGAACCTGGACCGGCGAGGGCTACACCCTCAGCAGCCGTGGGCGGTAGTGGAGGTGCCCAGTGCCACCATGTGCCTGGCCTTCCACCCCACGCAGCCCTCCCAGGTTGCAGGTGAGTGCTCAGGGTACCTGCAGAGGAAGAGGGCCGGGCTGCTGGCAGGGACATGGTCTGCAGCCTGGGGAGAACCTGGGGGCTGCATGTGGGGTGCTTGCGGGAAGGGAGCCTGGGGGTAGCAGGGGTAGTAGGCATTTGGGCTCACGCTGGGGCTCACGAGGGGTCCCCGCAGGAGGCCTGTACAGCGGTGAGGTGCTGCTGTGGGACCTGGGCCGGCCTGAGGACCCACTGCTGTGGCGCACAGGCCTGACGGATGACAGCCACACAGACCCCGTGTGCCAGGTCAGGGCTGGCTGCCGGGTGGTTTCCCTCCTCCCCTCTGGGTGGCACCCTGGGTCAGGGAGGTCCCAGCCCCCTCCCTCCTGTGGCCTGGGTGCCGCGCTGAGGCATCCACCCCTGCTGCTCATCACAGGTGGTCTGGCTGCCTGAGGCTGGGCACGGCCACGGCTTCCGGCTACTGAGTGCGGCCCCTGACGGGAAGGTGCTGCTGTGGCAAGGGGGTGGCGCGGGTGGCCTGCGGCTCCATGAAGGCTTCGCCCTGGTCATGCAGCAGCTGCCGCGCAGCGCCAGGCTGAAGAAGGTACTGTGGGGACAAGGCAGGGCGGGGCGGGGACAGGCCTGGGCCGGGGCAGGCCATGAGCCCTCGGCCATGTCCCACAGCCTCCCCGGGGCGAGACTGCTGTGGGCGCCACAGCGGTGGCCCTGTCCACCTTCGACCCCAGCCTCTTCATCCTGGGCACGGAGGGTGGCTTCCCGCTCCGCTGTTCCTTGGCGTCAGAGGAGGCGGCCCTGGCGCGGGCGCCCAGCTCTGTGCCACTGCGGGCCCCAGCGCGCTTCACCTTCTCCCCGCATGGCGGCCCTGTTTACTCCGTGAGCTGCTCCCCGTTCCACAGGTGGGGACTGGGCCTACCCGTGTGCCGGGCTGGGGGTCTGGGGCGCAGCGGCCGGCTCAGGAGCCTGCTGTCCCCAGGAACCTGTTCCTGACTGCGGGCACTGACGGCCACGTGCACCTGTATTCCCTGCTGCGGGCGCAGCCCCTGGCCTCCCTGCGCCTGTCCCGCCGCTACCTGTTCGCTGTGCGCTGGTCCCCCGTGAGGCCCCTGCTCTTTGCTGCTGCCTCCGGAGAAGGTAGGGCAGCCTGGGGACCAGCCCGGGTCTGGGGCTGTGGGCGGTTGCCCTCCCACAGGTCCCCTTCCCCTCCCTGCAGGCGAGGTGCACCTGTGTGACCTCCGGAAAAGCTCCCAGAAGCCGGTGGCCTGCGTGGCGCAGACCCAGGACGGAAGCCCGGTTTACTGCCTGGAGTTTAATGGCCAGCAGCCCCAGCTCCTGGCTGCCGGCGACGCCAAGGGCGCCGTTAAGGTGTGGCGGCTGAGCTCAGCCTTCTTGGAGCAGGAGCCCCGAGAGACTGAGGACCTGGACCGGCTGGCGGCCGAGGTGGCCACCTGAAGCAATCCCCCCCCTCGCCCCCATGTGCTTCTGGCAGGAGCCCAATGAAGCGCTGAGGCTGGGGCAGAGCGAGTCCTTTTATTCAGTGTTTTTTACTCTGGAAGCAGGAACAGAAGGGCAGGGCGGGGACACAGGGACATGGGGGAACAAGCCGGCCGCTCTGGATCGGAATGAGGGCGGCACCTGCGACGCGGGTCTGGGTCCCCATGGCAAGGCGGTGATTGTGACTGGGCCAGAAGCACCGTTTCCACTACATTTTACCCAAGCAAGACGGGCTCAGGGCACACGGAGGCTACACTCAGGGGTGGACATGCAGTGGTGAGTAGAGTCAGTTCACAAAGAGCGAACGCGTGAACTCCACATAGTCGAAGGCCGTGGGCAGCTCACGGCCCTTGCCGTCCACGTAGGGCTTCATGTGGGAGACGCAGTAGTCAGCCTGCTCCCGGGTCAGGTTCTGCAGGGTGGGGTAGGGAACAGTCAGGAGCCCGCAGTGCCATCTGGGTAGGTTTCCGGGGTGGTCCGGGCATACCTGGTAGAGCTCCTCCTTGGTCACGTAGGGCTTCCCCTCGGAGCTGAGGGCACGGAAGGCGCTCTCGATCTCCTCGCTAGACTTTACGTTCTCTGTCTCACGGCTGATCATGAAAGCCATGTACTCCTGAAGGGAGACGTGGCCGTCCCTGGGAGGGAGTGCAGATGTGACAGTGAGGAGGGCAGGCTGGGGACCGGGCCCTGGCCACATCTGTCCTGATGCTTAAGATGCTTACCTGTTGGGATCCACTGTGTCCAGGATGGCCTCAAACTCTGGGTCAGGCTCCCCTTCCTCCACCATAGGGAGGTCGTAGCCCAGCGAGCGCAGGCAGGACTTGAACTCCTGGTGGTTCAGCCTGCCGGACTTGTCCTTGTCAAAGTGTCTGTGGACAGAACCCAGGCCACTCAGCATGTGACTTGGCTGCAGCCCAAGCAGCCCGGAGGCAGGGAGGGACCCTACTCACTTGAACATCATGCTGAATTCCTTGAGGGCCTCCTCAGTCACCCCTGTTGTGTTCCTGGAAGAAGAGCGGGTCAGGGCTAAGCCCTCTGCATGGCAGGTGACACAGCCGCATTGGCCTTGGGCTGAAGTCTCTGCCACCTGCGCCCATGCCCACTACCTGGCCTGGATCTGCTGCTCCAGGTTGTGCTGCATGCGCATGCCCAGCTGGTCCAGCTGGTCCCACTGCTGCGCCAGGCCCACAGTGCTGTGCTCCGTGTACTTGTTGTCCAGGATGAGGGCCTCCTCCATGGCGGCGCCCAGGTCCTCGATCTTCTTCAACTGGCTGCGCATGGCTCGGATCTCCTGGTGCTTGCGCTGCAGGGCGGGGCAGGAATGTGTGGGATGGATCCTGGAGGCATGGCCTGACACTCCCAGGGTGGGGAGTGTAGAGGGTACTGGCAGGGCTCCAAAGGGCTGCTGCCCTGGAATGTGAGGTGCAGATCTGGGGTTGCCTGGGCCAAGGGTAAAGGGGCATAGCCAGCTCTCAGGGTCCTGACTGAGGCAGAGGGGCAGGAGCAGGCCGCTGGGGGGTGAGCAGGGCTGAGCTGGGCTGAAAGCCTGGGGCACTCACTTTGGTGGCCTCAAGCTGGGACTCGAGGGTTCCAGATTCTTCCACCATGCAGGACCTAAACACAGAGGCGAAGTGAGCACGGCCTGCACGCGGGTGGCAGTGCCCATAGTCAGCTGCCCTCTCTGGTGAACAATGCCTGGCAGCCTGCGCATCCTCTCAGGAAACGAACCCTGTCTGCTTCCTGCAGGCCTTGGGGCCAGGGGCCCCGTCTCACAGCCATGGCCCAACAGCCCTCCCTGCTGGCTGTATGCCAGGAGGGGCAGCATGGCCCCTTGGATAAGCAGAGAAGTGGGACACAGGGGCATTTGAGGGAGTGGCCCTAGTCCTGCCAGAGGAAAGACGGAACCCAGACTTGGGATCCATCGCCCACAGCCAGGGCGGGCTCTGAGGAGCAGGTAGGCTTGGGGGAGCTGCTTCTCCCCAGGATCACACACACACACACACACACACACAAACACACACACAGTGAGGTCACAGGAAGCTGCTAGTGAACAGAGACAGCACAGAGCTGGGGTCACATGCAGGGATGAGTTCACACGGCGTGCAGCCCGGGCTCCTCCATCCCCGTGTGCCCCAAGCCCAGTGAGCCAGAGTGAGCCCCGAGTCTCCCCAAGTCCAGAGAGCTCTAGCAGGCAAGGCCCTGCATCCCGCAGGGGAGGAGGGCAGTGGGCCGGCACAGTGGGACAGACCCTCCTTCCAAGCGGCCTGGGGTGTGAGTTAGTCAGAAAGCAGAGCCGCTGGGGAGGCCACAGTGCATTGGAAAACCACGGTGAGGGAAGAAGAGAATAAGAGAAAAACCTTCCAGACAGGTCATCCCCAACTTCATACTGACAGACACGAATGACCCGACGATACGCTATGCTAGTCAAAGAGAAGAAACCGAGTGAATACAGAGGCGGGGCCACAGAAGCACCCGAGACACATGCGCACCCGGCCCCAGCCGGGGCCAGGGCAGTGTAGTGCCAGGAGGGGACACCTCAGTGGCACCAGCAAGGCTAGGCAGGGCCTGGCAGGAGCCACAGTCTGGAGAACATGGCAGGTGAGGAGAGGGGACAGAGGGCAGCAGGCAGCGTGAGGGGCAGGTAGGCAGGGGGGGCGTGCTTCATTGGGCCTGGGCCAGGCACTCTGTCCCTGTCACTAGCTGCTCTGCGGGAACTCCTGTGGCCTCACTGGCTTGGGGGCCTGCTTTCAGGGGCATCAGTTAACCTAGTGTGGTCTGAGTGGGGCTTGCCTGTCCCTATATCATGTCCCCACCAGGTGTTTCCGTCTGCTGCTGGCCTCCCTGGGGAGTTGGGACTGTGCCCAGTCTTCTCCCCAACACTGCTGCCCAGCATCTTGACTGCTGACCTGGGCACTAGGCACAGTATCCCTGGACACACAGGGGACAAAAGCAAAAAGAAGCCCAGTTTCTCCCTGGGCTCCCACCTGGCCACAATCCTGTCTGGAGAGCAGCCCTGGCACACACTGGCAGGGAGCTGCGGGGCAAGGCCATGCCTGCCTGGTGCTTAGGGAGGGTGGGAACTGAGCCCATCTTGGGACCAAGGTAAGCTGGGCCACAGAGGGACAAGGGGCACAGGGACAAGCACACGAGACACCACCACACCACGAGCCCAGACCAAGAGGACAATATTAACCCGTCGAGGAGGTAGGTTCTGTGGAGATCCAGGCAGTGCGAGATGAGGCAGGATCCGGGCGCAGTGGCAGTGGGGGCCAGGGATAGGGACAGAGAGAAGACAAGAAATAAAACCAACAATGTGAGCACCTGTCACATCTGACCTGTGCCAGCTGCTGCTGCTGGGGGCTGACTGGGCTGTGATGGGGCCATCAGCCCATCTGGCCTCTCATCTCCAGGGATGTCCCCCAGGAGCCCAGCTTGCTGCCCACCCTCACAGCTCCAGGCCCAAGCAGGCAGCGCTGACCTCCCCACCAAGTGAGTGGCCTAGCGCACAGATGGTCCCTGGCTGGGGTGCGGGGTCACCCAAGGAGGCCGCACCTGGTCTCCTGGATCCACTGGTGGAAAGCGTTCGCGTGCTGTGCGAACTCCTGGCGCAGCTTGTCGTTCTCCTCCTGCCGCCGCTGCTCCTTCTGCAGCTCCAGCTCGCGTTCCTGACAAGGAGGCCAACATCACCTTCCACTGCCACCTTCCACAGTAGCCCAGCTGCCCTACCCTCCTGGCCCAGCCCCATACCTTGATGATCTTCTGCAGGTTCCGCCAGGTCTCCTCCAGCGCCTCCATGGTGAACCAGGTGTAGGGGTTGGAGGCCACACGGAAGCTCTTGATCTGGCGGTCCAGCTCGGCTAGCTGGTTGAAATCGGCCTGCGCGGAGCTGAGGGAGGAGCGGAAGGCGTCGTGGGCCTCACGCAAGGCCTTGATCTCTTCCAGGGAGTTGCAGCGCACCGGGTCCGTCAGGTCCTCCTCCGCGTTCTCAAACCAGCTGTTGAAGGCCGATGCCTTTTTGGCGAAGGTCAGGAAGAGGTCCTCCACCTGGCAGCAGAGAAGCCTGGGTGAGGTGTGACCTTGAGGGGCGGGCAGCCCGAGTCCTCGGCCCCATGGCATAGCTGGGCTCTGAGGACAGCGGGGTCCGCTCTCACTGCACCTTGCGGAAATGGCTCTGGGCCTCCAGCAGCTTCTTCTTGCGGGTGGCTGAGTTGGCCAGGAGCTGGCTCCATCTCTTCATGAGTGAGGCGTGCCGGGCCTCGATAGCCTTGGACTGGATGTGCTTGGCAGCCAGCAGCTGGTCTTTGAGGGTGGTGATGTTGGCGATGCCCTCCTGCTGGAAGGCCTGCAGGCCGGCGTCAAAGGTCTCCTGCAATGAGGAGGACAGGCCAGCTTGGGGATGCGGCAAACTGGGCTACCTCTCCCATGGCCTCAGAGCAGAGGGCATCACAGGTTTAAGCTAGGTGTCCCTGCCTGCTGCTGGCCCTCTGTTACACCTCGTGTTTGCCTCAAAGGCTATGTGACTTACTCTCCCCACTGCTCAGATTACCCTTCTGACAGTTCGGGAAGGCTGTCTATGCCCACGATTGGCTGGTGGTACCGTGCCCCTCCCATGTTTCCCTGAAAGTAAGACCTAACTGGAAAGTAAGCCCCAGTCACACCGAGCTTAGACATCAGTGTTCCCGCCCAGCGGCTGCTCTGCAAGGCAGGGAAAGTAAGGGCAGGCTGACCGAGGCTGGCACACTTCATCTCTAGCTTTCAAGGCTCATTATTTCCAGTTAGGTCTTCTCGGGGAGACTGTGCAGGTCTGCATGAGGCTGGGGTCTCTGTACTTCCCCGTTACTCCAGAAGCTCCAGACCCCAGGGCTGCAGACATCCATCGCCTGGGCCTCACAGGAGCTCACCAACCACCTCAGGGAAGGACACCGTGTGCCAGTTGTCTGCATGAAGCAGCCTGGTGGCTGTGCTGACCTGTTTGGTAAGGAGCGTCTGGACAGAGGACAGGTCCCTTCCATAGTCGTCCGTCT